TGGACGCGGCACCGCAGCGGGGCCCGCCTCGGCCTCGCCCGGGCCGCAGCGGAGCGCGAGGATCGGCGCTGCTCGCACCGTTTTTTCCACGACGGTCGCTTCCTGAAGCGTCTTCCCCGTCGCTTTGCGCCGTTCTCGGCGGAGCGCGCAGGAACCGGTGCAACGTAACGGGTCACATCTGGCAGAAGCGCCGAGCCCCGCGCGGCCGGAGGCGACGCCGAGTGCGAGGCGGCGGAGGGGCGGGTGTGGGGTCTGTGAGCCCGGGCGGTCAGGGAGCGCGTCCCGCGGACAGCCGGGCGGGCTGGGCGGCTCGGCGCTGGAAGCGGCGGGGGGCCGGCACGGGATGGAGGCACCGCTTTCTGCGCGGGGCCCTGGGCGGCAGCGGCCGTTAGGAGGGGGGGAGCGCATTTGGGGCCAGCGGGTTTTGCTCCGTGCTCGCCACCCTCAGGGTAATGCTGGTCGAAGGCATCTCCTTGTTTCCAGGTTCTGTGCCCACCTGCTCCTCCTCACCATTGCGGTGCCAGGCGTCGCAGTGCCGGGCTTTACGGCCAGATCCGAGACAACGAAGTGCCAGAGAACTTAACCGCGCTTTCCTGGAGGGACAGTGGGGAAGCGTGGTCCCGGCTTCTTCTTTAGGCGCTCCAAGCTAGATGCTGTGAAAAGCCCTTCAGCAGGTTGCCCAGGCAGGCACTGACGGCAGGGCCTCTGCCCCTGCCAAGACAGGCCTGGTCTCCGTCAGTCATTTCTGCTAATTTCATTGTATGCGAAGAGTGAAATTTGACACCTAATGGCCAAACAGCAGTCTGAAATTACACCTGTTCTTTCTAAAAGTGAGTCTTGAAATTGTTCTAGCTGGAGGGCATTAGTTCACGCACACCTTTTGTTATTGCTTTCACTTTTAATGGATGTTTCCTACAAAAGTAAATAAAGCCAAACATTTTTTTAAATAGGTGACTGGCGAACCACAAAGTTGCAGGAGCTGAGATGTCTGAAACCACTGCTTACACATGTGTGTACTTCGCAGGATTTCACAATGAGAGCCTCTCTCTTGGAGGGTGTGTTGTGAGAATAGGATGTGCCAGGCATAGCCTTTCTCTCTGGTGTAGTACGATAGACCATGTATGATACGTCACTATACCTTTTTTTTGCACATCAAAAGATAAGAAGTAAATTCTGTGCTATTTTATATTCTAAATCATAATACAGATACAATGAAGTGCCCACACAGGGTTAGGCACATACAGCGTTAGAGGACCATATTTTGGGTGTAATTGATGAAAGGCTGTGGTGCATATTCTCAGCCAGGCACACACAACTTAGTGTGGCATTTTTCTTTTAAAAAAAGCTCATAATACTCTCATAGCACAACACAATGTGTGCAAGGCTGGGATTTTTCTCCCCATAAAGTTTTCTATTGATTAAAAAAAGCACTTCATACTCAGGGACTCTGAAGTGTTATCAGTTTGAAAAATGAAGGTAAACCATACGTAACTTTTGTGATACGAAGCTGTTCAGTCAATGGTTGTCCTGTCCCGTTCACCTTGGGAGCTCAGATGCATCTGACCAGGGGAAATCCTTTTCTCTTTATCACCCTTCTATTCCTTCTGTTGCTGCACCTTTTTCTTTTCTGTTCTTTATCTAATCTCATATCCATCTCTCATACTATCCACTTTCGTAAGAGCTCACAAATTAAGTAGGGCTAAAAAGGAGGAGGAGGATGTTCTTGAACCAAATGTGGTGCCCCCGCATTTCATCTCCAGTTATAATCACAGATGAAACTTGTGCTTTTATACAACTGCCTTTTCCAGAAACCTCACAGAAGGCAGAGGAGTCTGTCTTGACTCTCTTGAGAAGCTGCTGCTCCAGTCTTCCGTTTCCAGTTGTGACTACGCCATTGCAGTAGCAGTTTCCGGACTTCATTAGACAATGTTTCTTTATTTACAGTAGAGAGTGTAACATAAAATGATATTAAAATGGATGGTGATGGAGTATTGAAATGATACCTGCATTAACCTCGTGAAACAGGTGCAAAGCAATGTGTGCTGGTCTAAAAACTGGAGTATTCTAATTGCACCACGTATGAAGAAACTGTGATTTCTCAGCAACGTGAATACTGCAGTAGGGCTGCTGATACCATTTGTGGTTGGAGATTTGTTTCTGAGGGTACTACAAGTGTTGTGCAGCCACAGTATCACTGTCATCAAATGATGCCAGAATCTTCTGTCATCATTTTACTCAAATTCAAAATAAATGCAATCAATCTCTCCCCCCTTTTTAAAAGGAACTTCAGAAAGCTGACATAACGTTTCTGGTTTATGATATTGATGGGAAACTGAGAATGTATTTGCTTAATTACAAAACACCAAATGTGACTACAGACATCCAGTTTTTACTAGGAAATCCGTTGTTTTCTAGGTCTTAATGCAGAGAATGACATCTAACAAATTTCCTGTCAACCTGATTTCAACATTTGTGAATCCATGTTGTTCCAGTAAGCCTCGGTATTCAGAGCCACTTCTCTCCTTTCCCTCTGTCTGCACAAGCATGTTCAAAGACTGCAGCAGAGCTGTGCTCCTGTTCTTCTTCTCATCATCCAATACCATTTCAGCCAGCAAAATCCCACAGCCTAATTTAAAAACAAATGCATGCAACAGTACTAATCTGTTATCAGGCACAAGAATTTCTGCTACCATACATAAGAGTGCAAACTACAAGACACAGGTGATTTCATTTATCATTTATGGATTTGCTTTTATCATTTATGGATTTGCTCTGCTATTAAATGCCTAATCCACTCCTCGCAAAACCCAGGAAATTCCTTTCCACACCATGGAGGGATCAAACACTCCCAAGTCAAGTCATGGCTCTGTTTTCAGGGGAAGAGGAGATGACTTCTGTAGACTTGGCATGAAGGTTGTGGAAAACAGTAAGACAGGAATAGTAGTTACATCTCTTTGGGATATATTGCTGCTTCGCATGCATACTGAAATTGTGCCAAGCAGACAAATGGTGGATGGCGAGCGTTACAGAATTGTTTAGGTTGGAAAAGACCTTTAAGATCAAGTCCAACCATTAACCCAGCACTGCCAAGTCCACCACTAAACCATGTCCCTAAGCACCACATCTACACGTCTTAAACACCTCCTGGGAGGGGGACTCAACCACTTCCCTGGGCAGCCTGTTCCAGTGTCTGACTACCCTTTCAGTGAATAAGCTTTTCCTAATATCCAACCTAAACCTCCCCTGGCGCAGCTTCAGGCCGTTTCCTCTTGTCCTATCACTCGCTAAACAACCCCAGCTCCCTCAGCTGCTCCTCCTAAGACTTGTGCTCTAGACCCTTCACCAACTTCGTTGCCCTCCTCTGGACACGCTCCAGCACCTCGATGTCCTTCCTGTAGCAAAAAGCAGAGAAGTCATCAATGTTGCACATTATTTCTGTAGGAACTGAGGTCTCTGTGGTGGGACTGACTTAGGGATGTGAGCAGAACTTAAATGATCCTGTTTACACACAGCCTCTTCCTCAAGCATGTCTGACGTGAGCCTGAACCTACATTATGTGTCCAGTAGGACTCTTCTGCCCTAATTCAGTCATCCATAGATTAGACAGCTGTATTTCAGCTAACCCTCTTAAATATGCTCTATCCACTATGAAATGTATAATCACACTTCTTAGGAAACCCAGGAAATTCCCTCTCACAGACAGGGGAGACAAATCATCCTCTCAAAATGCCTGTTTTTCTACTGATTGGAGAGCTCAAGGTGACCAGATGATTTGAATGCCTAATACTTAGGTATCTAAAGTTAGGGTGATGAAGCCCATTTGTTATGATTCAGTGAGTTTCTGTTCTCTCCCCCCCCTTCCCGTGTGATTCTCCTTTGCCTTCAACAGAGAGACCTGGGAATCGCTGTTCCTGGTTACACAGCAAACGTTGCTAGGTAGAGTAATGCAGGACTATCATTTCTAAGTCACCATTATATTACAGCTTTGGAAGATGGTGTCCAAATTTTGTACACTCTGAAAGGAGGACACAAATAGAACGGTCATTATAATTTGCCATGGAAAGTTATTTGGGACATCCAGATAACATCAGGGTCATCTGCAAAAATATACCCAGAAAGCACAACCAATGTGGGAAGAACACCTTCAAAAATTAGACACAGTAAATTAAGTTAGTACAGGGAAAAAGAAAAAAAAATATCTCTACAGTTAATGAAGATTTACTAGTGTAATTTGAAATTTCTTCATGAGAGGGACTGAAACAGAGCTAACTTTCAGCCCTTTCAGGAAGCATACTTTGACGAAGAAATTTTGGCCATGGTTTTATAGGAGTTAAAAATTAATGGTCATAACAGTCTTTTCTGAATTAGAAAGTCATTTAATCCAGATTATCATTGTTTAGCAAGGACGTAATTTCCAGCCAAAAGAAGGGGGCGGTAAAGTGCCAGGTCTCCAAAACCCTCCTTTTTTAAAAACAACACAAAACCCCACATTAAATACTTCCACTCTCCAGGAGTCAGCTAACACATCCAAAACTGAACTCAGATCTCACACAAAGGGGCTTAGCCATCAAATAGCTCTTCCTAAGCTTTTGTGCTGGGTGGCTCAGGTGACGTACTGTCATTCGCTTCTGTCCCATTACTTTTCCAGGCACAAGTACTGTTAATAGCTGTAACAAGGTCAAAAACTGATATAAAAATGATTGAGCTAGGACAGCCAACCAAGTTGTATCTCTTCTTTCTTGCAAACTACTCCTTCTATCTTCCTCAAGGATTCTTACCTCAGCGTTCAGCGAGCAAGTGCTGAAGTTCTTGTTTCTATTATCCATCTATCATTCTGTTAACCCCCGCAATTCTCCACCGCAAAATTTTTTTTCTGTTTTCTGTGCATCACATTTCCTCTATACTGTTGTTGAGGCAGAATGTGGGTAAAAGACAGCATCCTCAAGAAGGCATAGCTGAATGCCACTTCCCAAGCAGTAACACAAAACCTACAGGCTTTATTGGCAGAAGTTCATTTGGATTTTAAAACTTAAGTCCCCTCATTCTTCATGTCTTGATTAGCGAACAGGCCCAAATTTTCCTCAGTTATGCCTATTGCTTAGGAAGTCTTTTCAGTGTAACACCATTAAATCCACCACTTCTACCAGTCAGCAAAAGATACCAGCTTTCTCCAGAGCAACTGAAAAACTCAATTTGGACATTAATGAGAGAAGGAGTTTATAATTTCTCAGGTGACTGGGCTATGTCAAATGATTATAGAACAGCTTAGGCTGAAATGGACCACAGGAGATCTTTAGTCCAACCTTCTGCTGGAACCCGGGCAGCTCTACAGTCAGCTCAGGTTGTTCAGGGCTTTGTTCTCAGATCCTGAAACCGCCAAGGACAGAGATTCCACAACCTCTCTGAGC